GACCAAACCAAACATCGTCTTAAGTCTTAACCCATGATAAGAGTTTTCTTTTCATTAAAAAAATAATAAAAAAAGGGGAATTTTCGTCTTTATTCTCCCAGTTTCTCACATTTGCCGATTTGCGTTCCATCTTCGCCTTCGCTTCATCAGATTCTCTGACTCTTCCTGCTCTCTCGCTCGCAAATTTCTCTCGTCTCTTCTCTTCTCTTCTCGATCTGATCTCCTCAACCCCATCGAAGAAAAACCCTAAGTGAATCATCCATGACGCTTGGCTCAGGAGGATCGAGTGTCGTTGGTGAGCCCTCGTTTCCCTTTGTTATCTTGTTCTGGACTCTGATTTCATAGTTTTCTTTGATCATCGCAAATAAAATCTGCTGGTGCCCTTTTCTTTTCAGCGTTTATTTGTATGGAAATGCTTATGGGTTTTGTTTGACACTGTATTTGGATTCAGGGTTTGGAAGGATCTCTATATTTTCTTTTTTGAAGTTCTCTTTTTTTGTTTTTTTTTTTACTTGGAATTTCTGTAGTGTCTTGTAGTGACTATGTCATGGATTTTTCTATGAGATTGTATTTTCTTTTTGCTAGAAGAAATTTGTATACTTTTTATTTCATCTGATTTTTAATTATGAAATCCCTGTATTTATTTGTATATATGCTTCAAAATTGAGTTGTGCATAAACTGCTGAGTAGTTGATATCTTAAGTCTTTTTTATTTTGTACTGATGAATGCTTTGTTATGCGTTTATTAGAAGCCATATGAGAATCTCTGCTATTTGGTAAATGGTTCATGTGGTGTATCACAGCTCAGAGAATGTACAAGTAGTATCTTCATTGTACTGCATATGTTGCTTGAGCTTTGTATTTAATACATTGTTACTTCAATGGTGCCGGGGTTTTACTTACCCGTGTTTTGAAACAAGATGGAGATTGGAAGTTAAGAGTGTTATTCCATTGTAAAAGTTTGATAATTGATCTTGCCATATATTGTTGAAGAAAAGAAAGTGAACCAACTGACAGCAAATTGGTGTGGATAGATGGCAAGTTTTCTTACATAATCAAGGATAATCCAACCTTCTGCTTTCTTTCATGTACTTGATTTGCATATTTTTGTGGTTGTGTATTCAAGTTGTGGTTTCTGTCACCTTACAGCCATGTAGCATCATAATTTTGAAATTCTAGTTATTATGTTCAATGTTCTTAATTAAATTATGTCTGCATATGATTAACTCCACTGAATTTTTGTCTAGAAAATTGATTTCTAAAGTAACTCAAGTGGCAAACTTATTAGTGTTGTTGCAAGCTACAGCATGCAAGATAAAAATTAAGGTCAAAATTTTTTACTTTATGCGTATTTGTGTGATTTTATGATCTTCTACTCAATGGTATTAAAGTTGATTATCTAATTAGAAGATCTTGAGCCACATCATTATCTAGTTCTCTTCAGTGTTCACCATTTATGTCTGCAACTGAGAACAGATGTGTTGTTTTTATTTATCTCTTCTAGAATGGGAAAGTCATTATACATTATGTGGAAATGTTTGGAACATATGTTGCTAGTTTGGAGATTGAACTTCTTCTTTTGGCATTTTAAGTCAGTTGTACATTTTAAGTCAGTTGTAGATTTTAAATAATTTTTTCTTTTATCAGTAAAACAAATCCTGAGCACTGTTTTTTATCCTATTTTACAGTTCCACGGAACTTTAGACTGTTGGAGGAGCTTGAACGTGGAGAAAAAGGTATTGGAGATGGCACTGTTAGCTATGGAATGGATGATGGAGATGACATCTACATGCGCTCTTGGACTGGCACCATCATTGGTCCTCACAATGTAATTAGTTAATGTTCAGTTAAGAGATTATGTATTTTGGAAATTGCTTCTTTAGATAAAAATTGTGCTTGTGCTCATGATCACATGCAGATTTTCTGAGGCTAGCCTGCTTATTGAGGCATTGAGTTTTAGCTCCTGCCTTTGGGGCTAAAGAATCTGTCTGGTATTAGATAAGGGGTTACTAATACCCACAATCGCATGGTAACTCATATTCTTTTCTCCTTGTGGCATCCTGGTGTTTTTCTATTGTGGACTTCTTGATGTTCATTATTGAAGTCCCTTGGATGCTTCAGAGGTGGAATAGATCCTGGCCTGTGTTAGGAATTTT